TCCCAAACTTCCTCTCTTGTTTCTATAACTCGATAGGAACACGGAATATGTTTTCTATTTCTTAAATAAAGCATGCAAAGCTAAATATCAAACGCTCTGAACGCGCGTTACACGTTTCAACCCTTTACGCGGTATGCAGTGAGTAATAAATGCATGGGATTAAGCTGTCTTTGCCGCTGGCTTAGCGGAGCGCAGTGGAGTTCGTGTTTCACCAACAGCGTAACTAATAATTGTTAAAACAAAACGATGGCAAAATTTGTAGAATTTTACTTACTTTACACAGAATGCCCTTCTGTTTCTCCAGATGTTGAACGAATTCTGTGGCATTTTCCAAAGTACTTTTGGAAATTTCTGTGGGCAGAGGAGATGCATCACCACCGGCCAGTAGTTCATTCATGTCAGATTGAACACGTGCATTGATGTGGCCATTCTTGGTACCAACTCCGGCATTTTAGACGGGGGAAATTTTGCCGTATCTGATGGCTTCATTCACCTCTGCCACAAACTGATCGATGTTGTATCTCAGTAGCTGCTGTGCGTCCTAGTCAAAGGTGAAGTGCAGCTGCCCATTGTCGTACACATTCTTGAAACATTCTTGAAAGGCATCGATCACCTCAGTTTTCAGGTAGGATAGTAGTAGCTGCACCTTTCACCGGAGAACAATTTACACAAAAGCTGAACGTCGCCAGTTGCGTTGTCCTCGTCAGTCTTCATTAACTTTTTCAATATGTCGAAGACTTCAGGGGAGAGAATTATTCCTTTATTCTGGTTGACGAGCAATTTCACTAATCCCGAATAGGTGCTTTTGCTGATGATAGAAGGAGTTAGCTCTAACTCTTCCAACGGGTCTTGGGCGGCATGTTGTATGGCGGACGATTTTCCTGAAACTATTCAACAAAGACGAGGCTATAAATAACTGGACTGCTTATGACAGTTGTGAGGAAAGGTCACAATGTATAGAGTAGTAAAGTCAATGAATTTCAGAGAAACGCACGATATATTTACCTGTTCCCGGGTATCCAACAAAGATGGTGAAAAGATTAAGTGGCTGGTTGTGCGTTAATGTTTGAATACGCGAGTGCTTCGATGCCAGGAGGTAGGCTGTTGCTGTGAAAAGTGAAGGTATAAAATAGCCTTCGCAGCTTCCCACAGAGACTGCTTTGTTTTTGATGAATCGTTGAACGTCTTGGTTTGGAAACAATTTCTCGTTCGAAAACTGAACTTCGTTTAGACGCTTCTGGAGATTCACCCAGGTTTGTTCGTTTTGCTTTGAAAGCTTCGAAAGCGCATATATCGTGAGTGAAGATCACTTGTGACGAATGTCAAAGATAGATCGCAAATGAGAAGCAATAGAAGTGATGGTTAATAAGAGATGCCGGCAGTTGGAATTTTGATCAATTGTAGGCCACGCGCAAGTCTTTCTTAGGAGTCTTTACCTCATGGGAAGAGTGATTTGTCTGGATAATGGGTTATGTGATAAAATTAATTGTGAATGTAAGGTTGGCTTTTAAAAGAATCAAGGAGTAGTATCAGTATTGATTTTCGGAAAGGTCGTAATGAGAGACTGAGCGTTAAGGAAAGTTCACAATAGGTTTTGAATAAGTTTGTTATTGGTAACTAGTAAAATGAAATGGAAAAAAATGAGCTAACGATGAAAGGGACGCGCTGTCAGTACAATAAACTGTATGAATTATTATTGGATTTTAAACACTTAATGATTTGTTTTGTGTTGTGAGGCGATGTACTTTTTGTCTAATAAGATTAATAATAATCAAAACGTAAACTAAATGAATGAATGGACGCGTGGGAAGGCGCATGGTTGAAAAAAAATTTCAACTGCATCATGCAATGAGCATGCACGGATGATGAAAGAATATCAAGAAGACTGCCATTTGTTCTATTACTCGTTCCCTTTAGCGTGTCGTCGTAAATCAAACAACAAAGAAATGGGACGGGCGGCAAATAAAACGACTTTGCTTCAACAGTTTTAATTAACCGTGTGTAAAGTTGTGATCAATCACACAAGGTAGAAGAAATCCATTGTTTAAAGTATTGTTTAATCTCCTGTTTAAACCTTGCAACCACTTATTTAACTTTGCAGTGAATGAATTGTTTATTGAGACAAGCGGTACTTGTGAAATCANTAAAATGAAATGGAAAAAATGAGGTAACGATGAAAGGGACGCGCTTTCAATACAATAAACTGTATGAATTATTATTGGATTTTAAACACTTAATGATTTGTTTTGTGTTGTGAGGCGGTGTACTTTTTGTCTAAGAGTAATAATAATCAAAACGTAAACTAAATGAATGAATGGACGCGTGGGAAGGTGCATGGTTGAAAAAAAATTTCAACTGCATCATGCAATGAGCATGCACGGATGATGAAAGAATATCAAGAAGACTGCCATCTGTTCTATTACTCGTTCCCTAAGCGTGCCGTCGTAAATCAAACAACAAAGAAATGGGACGGGCGGCAAATAAAACGACTTTGCTTCAATAGTTTTAATTAACCGTGTGTAAAGTTCTGATCAATCACACAAGGTAGAAGAAATCTATTGTTTAAACTACTGTTTAATCTCCTGTTTAAGCCTTGCAACCACTTATTTAACTTTGCAGTGAATGAATTGTTTATTGAGACAAGCGGTACTTGTGAAATCATTTTGTACATATAACTGTACCTAACGAGGCCGAGGAAGAATTTGGTGAAGGCATATTTATTCTGTTAGATTTGGAAGTGTATGAAGCACGGTTGACAAGGCAGTTCAAGTTGCGATCGGTTCAAAACGACCTCGCCAAACGAGTCCGCCTTTTGCAACCATTCCAAAAGAGGAGCGTGCAACTCAATGCGGAATATTTCAAACAGGAAGCTATGGCCGTAACAACGAACACAAGAAGTGGCGTTAAGATGACCTAGAAGGGCTAATGGCGGATAAGGAGATGTTTATTCACTGGTTAATGGACGAACGCCTGATAGCAAAGAAATGTTTGTGTCCAATGTGCGATGAACGGATGACCTTGACAAGATGTGTGGATCAGATTTATTCAAGCTGGAATGCAGGAAGCAGTAAAAGGGGAAAAGACACAAAACAGAGATATCGATCAGGAAAGGTAGCTGGTTCGAGAAAAGCAAAATGACTTTGGAAGAGATTGTGAAGTTGATGTACTGGTGGTGCCAGGATCTTGATCAGTCGCAGATTAAACACGAATTAGGACTCGCGGAAAGTACTGGTGTTGACTGGGACAGCTTTTGTCGGGAAGTTTGCGAAATCATTATCTTTGAAAACAGCGAAAAACTTGGAGGAGAAGGCAAGATCGTACAGATCGACGAAATTAAATTTGGTAAAAGAAAATACCATCGAGGTCATCACGTGGAAGGTCAGTGGGTGTTTGGCGGAATTGAACAGGACGTTAGGAAATCTTTTCTTGTGGCGGTCGAGAAACGGTACGAAGGAACACTATTACCTATTATTGAAAAATGGATTGCACCATGAACAATTATCGTATCCTATTGCTGGAAAGCTTACACCAATCTTGACAAGCATGGCTATGAACATCGAACAGTGAACCACTCGGTTGAATTTGTGAATGAAGACGCTGATCATACAGATAAAATGAAGGACATTGGAGGCAAGCAAAGTGCAAACTTCCAAAATTCGGAGTACGAAAACATTTGTTT